GTTTCGTATTCGAAAGGAAGAAGAAAAAAAAAGAACAAGGAAAAAAAAGAACATTTTTACGTTTCATCTATACGTATTATATTATCAGAAATTCCGTATCAGGATGATTAATGCGATTTCTCTTCCATTATAGTTGTAGCGTAAGGTGGCAGAAAAGGCGCGCTGTAACGGTAAAATTAAAAATGCTCGAGGTATCGGTTATTGCGGGAATCGAGCAAATTGCCGCGGATGATCGCAAAACCGATGGATTAGACGTTAAATATAAACGTTCGGTTTCGTACTCGGGATACGTTTGCAGCGCCATACTCGCGGCTCGGGCATGAATCACGCGATGAGTTATCGCTCGCGACTCTCTCGATTGTAAATTGGCCGGCTCGATCACGCTACAGAAGCGGTGCGATCGCGTCAAGGTCGCGCACGGCGAATAAAGGAAGCGTATCGATCGAACCGACCCTCCTCCCCGCCCGCGACAACGGTCCGTTCCCGATTTCGACAGGGACTCGGCTCTCGCTTGGCTTTTTGCTAATCGAGAGCCCGCTTCGTCCGAAACTTCCTTCGCCGCTTGCTCCGAGTAAGTACCATCGGACGCTTCGAGTTCACGTCCGATACGTAACCGTGCTCACGAGAGGAGGATGGCGTCGCGTTTTTTCCACTCCTAGTTATACACGATCCTCGATACCGAACTCGCACTCGTTTCTGGTCTAACGATAAAAAGATTCCCCCCTCGAGAGAAATTACCGCGTTCCCGTTATCCGATCGGATACCGATCGAGCGTAGTTACGATGCTCGCTGCGATCGCCCCGACATTTAACATTCGTTTTTCTTCCTTTTTTTTTCTTCTCTTTTTCTTTTTTTTCGCGACCGAGGACGATCGTCGAAGCGTTCGGAGAGAATCTGGAACGGGAACGCGTTGCATCCGTGAAATACGAAAACGTCGCGTCGATTGTTCTTCTCGACGGCTGTTGTGTACGAGATTTTTTCCATTGCGAGCGATCTTGAATAAAAGTGCATCGTGTTTGAAAATCAAACGCGTAGCTTTGCTTTCGCGGCCATCTACGCGTGCAAGCGAATATTATTATTATTCTTGTAGAGGGAAAAGTAACAGTTTGTGAAATCGACTGTTATTTATGAAAGATGTTTTCTCGCTATGCTTTTTCTCTCTCTCTCTCTCTCTCATTATTATTTGTTATTGCACGGCGTTAAAATGGCATATCGATTTCGAGGTCACTCGCTAATTACAATACAGATATTAGACACGGTGTACGACGCGCGGTGTACTTTGAACCGATCTCTCGATTTCGCAGATTTCGTTTCGTAATACGTTTCGATACGCAGGAATACGCAGAAGGGATACACAGTGTCGTATCGATCGTCGAAGGGAACAGTCGTTACAATTACAGTTGTTGGCAATCGCATAGGTGGAATTTCGTTATCTTATCCGTCTCTCTGGAAAATCGTTGAAGAAAATTTGGTCGAGTTCGTTCGTGTAAACGCTAATTGTAGCCACGATCGCTATCTTCGTTCTAGAAATATCGAGCAAAGGTTACATAATAAACAAACGAATGCGTTCGCGTTTACGGGAATCGTTGAACGGAAACCGGCATTCCTCGCCTCGATGTTTGCTTCTCGTTCGGAAATCAATGGCCTTACATTTTGCGCCGCTTCGTTGTTCGACGCGCTCGTCTATCGGCTGACTAATCGGCGTATTCTCGATCGCGCTTTTTGCAATGTGCATCGTTCTCCACGTGTTTCGTGTTTACGCGAACACGAGTCACGTGTGAACCAGCCACACGAGAAATTATATAATCGTTTTACTCCTCGATCACGTTGATAAAGCCCTTTCTTTCGCGTTCTTACGCTCGAGATTATCAAATCAATCTTTTCCAAAATTTTCCTCTCTAAACATCCGGATTTCGAGAATTCGTCGCGATACCAACCAATCATCCTCCTCCTTATTCGTTACGTTACATCGGTTCGCGTGATTCGTGTCAAAGTTGGAAGGATCGTAACGTATAACAAGTATATTCCTGGAAACGCGGAATATATAATTAAACAACGATGCGCGTAGCAACCGATGCGGATCGACGAGTTTGCAAAAGTTTCGCGTGCACTCGTGTAAACGAGCGAACGGATTATATAGATACAATGGTCGGCGAGGGATGATGTGTTAAATATGGATATGGCAGGGAAAAGTAGAAGAAAGGTAAACTCGTAAACTCGTTTTAGGATTTATCGGTCGAGTTGCGGAGGTATGGGCGAGCGACATTTCGTGCGTCTCGTACGTTCGGTGAAAGTTCGCGGCAGATCTTCGTGCCACCTCGTTTCTACCTCGATACAGTTTCGTTTTCGCGCTCGAAAGTTTTAACAGAGTGAAAATGAGCGTACGTTTCCAGGTCTGATGATGGAATCCGAGAAGAAGATCTTCGAAATGATGAACAAGAAGGCGGCGATGTCCAAGTATTGGATGCCGCTCGTCTGGGCGACCAATATCATAAACAGGGCGAGGAGGGAAGCCTTGATAACCAGCGACCAAGTAGTGCAAACCCTTCTAGTCGAGTTGAGCGACATCCGGAAGAGGCTTGGCGCGCTCATCGGTTACGACACCGTTTGCGTCCCTCTCGTCTACACGCAGGTAAGTATCGCGATATTGGAATCGACAGTGTCAATGTTAATAACGTCCCGTTCCGACGCGAACAAGGATAGATACACGCGGTCGGATAATTTTTCTAAAGCGATATTCGTACGCGTATTTGGCGTTGATCGAACAACAATAGAGTTTTGAAAAGTGTTTCCTGTCCACGAGGATCAAAGTCAAGATTGGATCATTCCGTTTCGAATCTCATTGAGAAATATCGTTAAGAAGCCGGGTAATTGCGATGACGGCGTTTATCGTCATTGAGAAACACCGAGTGTTTTAAACGAACATCTTCATCCTATGAGCCTCTATTCTCATCGTTACCGCCTCCCGTCTCTCTCTCCCGTTGATACTGTTGACAGCGTACTCTTGTACGGAATTGCGTAACTCTTAATTCCGTTGTTAGCTTTACAATAACCACGTTTCCTCTCCCCTCCCCCCTCTAATCTAAACTTTTTCTCCAATGGACAATCTCTCCCGTATCTCTCCGACTCTTCCAACCGTTCGTTCCACGCTTATCTTCACGCGAGAGTACGAACAATCGCGCTTCGACACGTTCGGCGTTAAGGGAACGTTACGGCCGTTTCTTCGAACGGTGTATTTCGATTTGACCACGGTTGAGCAGTTTCCATGGGCAGTTCGGAGTTAACGAGCCAACCAGCCAGCCAGCCAGCCAGCCAGCCAGCCA